TGGTTCACGACGGTGTGGGCCACACTTGTCACAGGCCTTCCTGAGGTCGGCATGACTGAGGAAACGGCCAGGCAGCTTCGAGGCTGGTACGCTTACAAGCTCCGCTCGGTCCTTAATCAACCAGCACATGTCTCCCGTCTGCCTACGACAGATCTCTTTGCGTTACACGGCATACGTGACCCTGTCAAAATCCTCGACGACAGAATGGAGGGCAGAATTCGGAAGCTACAGCTCCGCGTCAGCAGAACGCTGCCTCAGCCTTCTGCTTCTTCGGCCGGTGTCATTGACATAACTCTGCACCCAGACGTGCTCCAATCTCTGGACGACATAGTTCAGGAGCTGCGGACTCTGCCGGAGCTTACCGAGGCGACACAGCAGGCCACCCACTTCTGCTCGCACTGTACAGCGGCCTTTGCCTCAGATTATGGCCTGCCTGAATCTCGGACATACCCGTTTTTGGGCCGCAAAAAGAAGAGCGGACGCAGCTGCCTCCTGCAACGGCAGCCCTCGCTCACATAGCAGTCACACGGTAGCTCGGGCTCGACAATCTCTCAGCAGGTGTTCAATCTTTGATAGGCCAACATGCCGGATCTTCCCCATGGAATCGAGTACTACGCCGCTCTGTGGGACGAAGCCTGCCGACGAGGACATGACCCTCGGGCATATCTTCATGACGAACGCAGGGCAGCTTCCGCCACCGACACCAGTTCAAGCACTGTCTCGGTCAGCGACTCTGGCCAAGGTGCAGTGGCCGGTGTGATGGCGTCAAAGCTTCCAATAGAGCATGACTCCAAGCGTGACCGCCCGCCCACTCCGCCGAAGCCGAAGTCTGGAAGACGCTTCCAGGGCACCAGCTCATCCGGAACGAGCCAGACTAAGTGAGGGTAAAGTAGTTGGCGCTGAGCGCACATTTCGAGGGGCAATGCACATTGTGATTGCCGAAACTCACCGCTAGGGTCCTTGGCCACACGGCTACAGCTCTTTACAGCCGGTTCAGCTAAAAGCCTGCCTGTTAGGGTGCAACGGTAATACGCCCGCTCATAAATCTCACCGCAGACTGCCCCCCTGCTCAAGTTCTGGCAAGGGCCAAAGCCGAAGACACGGCCGTGACTCATGGCCGCAGCGGCAGCCTCCACCCCGACGGGCATGGATGACATCGAGGCCATCTTGGATCGCATGGAGAATCAGGTGCTCGCCCTTGGCTGCTTTCCACCGCCTTCCCCACTATTAAGCCCGGTGCCAGACGCTTGCATGGAGCTGCTTCAGGGGCCACGCGGCCCAGAACTGGGCAAGGGCATGACGTGCAGGGTTGTTCAGTGCGACGGCCACCGGTCCTACGCCCTCAAGATCGTCCAAAGCCGGCACAGGTACGAGTGGATGCGGGAGGTCAGCAGGACGAGACGGCTTCCCCGCTCTCAGTTCTGCAGTCGGTTTTTGCCACAACTGACCTGGTCTCGCTGATGCCGCGACTCTGGCCCCTTCCCCAACACATGACAGCCCCGGCACTGGTCAGGATGAAGCACGACATCTCAGCGGCGCTGGAAATCATGCATCAATACAACATGGTCCATGCCGACGTCCATGCAGGCAACATCATGATGAGGCCACAGCCGGCGTGCGACGTCCTGATCGATGACGCGGGCTGCTCTGGTGACTCTTCCGATCCCCCACTCACCGTCTTCTCCATTTCCGCCCGGCACCTGGATTCAGACGGCGATCAACCCCCAGGTTTTGGTCACTGCCTTTCTATGAATGATGCCGGCAGCATCAGCCGCGATTCTGCCATTTTCGCGCGTCCGGACCATAAGTTCGGGAACCAGAACGGCACCTTCGTGGATGAAGAGGTTGGTGGCATTGCCCAAGGAACCGGCTCTTGGGAGAAGTCGGCCACCTTTGCCAAGTTCTTCCTGCAAGGTGCCTTGCGAACGTGTGGCACACACGAGCGGGCCTTCTGCCAGGAAATCTTTCCATGGCAGGCATACACCAATGATGATGGCTACCTGGTCGCGGAGAATCCACCACCTCCTTATCCGAGGTCCATCATCTCTGACTTCGAAGCAGACGGCTTTGAAATGATGGACGATACCCCGACACGGGAAGGGGGCATGGCCCAAGCTACGGCGTCAGACCCAGGACAGGCCACCCCTGAAGGGAATCTGGGCCCCGTACCCACACGAAGCCCAGGAAACCGCGACAGGCCACCAGACAAACATTCGGCAGGCGACCAAGCTGCTCGAGGAAGCCATTGCGGCAATACCGGAGGAGATAGCGAACATGCCGGCCGAGACGAAGCGGCCAGCCCCGGAGGTGGATATCACAGCAATTTCCGCCACCGCCCAAGCGCACTTGGGCGACTGGGCGGCCCCTGAGCGCCCGACTTGGGCGTGGGCTTTACGATTCGCGGCAGCGGTGCTGCATGACGTGGCCGAGAGCCTGGAATCCGACAAAGGTCAGCAAGCCTCGCCAACAGACGCCGCACTGTCAGAGCAGGAGACCACCACAACAACTGCGGCGTTCGCCAATGACGTGGCTTTGGCCCCGGAGCTCCAATCGCAGCTCGGATGAGTGTCTTCCTCAACTCTGGTGGCATTGCCAAGCAGCTAGGTATGATGACTTTCCTAGCCGGAGGCATTGCCTACTCTAGAGACGGGCAGAGGCACGAATGCCTGACCGACGCCCTGCAGCTCTAACAATAGCTTCAGCAGAGGTGATTGAGGCGTTTTTGAACATAGTTCAGCAGCGTCTTCCAACTGCCGCAAAGAGAGAGTTCTGTGCTGCACTGAAGGTTTACTCAGATGCTTGCTGATGCACTCTGCTACGGTATTTGCGGCATGTCTCGCGCTGTCATAGCGATTGTTTTGCTTGCAGAACTTTCTACATTAAGGCTAGTCTGGCCCGCCTGATGAGGGCGACGCCATGGATCGCCAGGGCAACAGGAAGCGCCGCCTCGATGAGCCCGTGCACCCGCCTGCGCCGCGCTCTCTGCTCGGTCACAGTGTGGAGGCTCGGCTACGGATCTACCGCGCAGGGCCCAGCCTGGGTCGCCTCGTCTTCTTCGAACTTCCAGAACTTCTTCTTTCTGCCCGCACTGCAGGCTTTCTGCTAGGGAGCATTGCTTGGAGTGACAGGCGCTGCCTGGCACAAACCAGCCACGAAGTGCACAGACGCACAGCGCGCTTCTGGGAACTGTCGACACGCGACCGGCAAGTCGTCCTGGCAAATATCCCTCCTTGGTGACCTTGCGAACTGACTGTGACGTTGGCCAGGGGAGCAGCCGTGACTCCGGGGTTTCAGTGGTAGCTCGGCAGAGGGTCTTTGCAGTCTGGAGGCGTTGCCAAGCCGCTAGGTTTCATGGTCTTCCTAGCTGGAGGCTGGAGGCACTGCCTACAATAGCGACGGGGATGGCACTCAGTCCGCCTGTCTCGACGGTCCGTGAATTACGGGCCTTCTCCTGATCCGGCACTCGCAGCGAAAACGTGCAGCCCGAAAGACGCGGACACTCAGCTAACCTGTCAGCAGCAAGAACTCCTGTTTTAAACATGTCATCGGTGCAGCTGGCTCAGCCACTCCAAGGAGAGGCGATAAGGGTAGGGCACATGTGGAGGTTGTCACCTGCCCCGGCGGGTATGCCGATCGATGTTGCGGATGAGGACTGCGCGGTTCCCCTCCCGCCAGCCAAGCGCCGCCGGAAAGTGGTTTCGATCCCAGTTCCAGCAGAGACCTCAATACACCTGACCGAGGAGGAAAGGGAGCTGCAACAAAGGCACGAATGCCTGACTACTGCCTTGCAGCTATACCAGCCTGCCTCTGCAGGGGCGCAGCCGGGACTGCGCTTGATCCTTCCGCCCTGCATCATGGAAGGGGAAAACCACTTCACGCTATGCCCGCTCGAGGTTCTTGCAACAGACTGCCTTCACAGGCGATGGGTTGCATTTGCACAGTTCGAGGAGATCCTGAACGGCATGCCCAAGACCTCGGACACCAGACATCCCTCTCCGCTGGAGCCTATCATGCAGGACCAAAAGACCATGTTCTTCGGAGCATACGCGCAGGGGCCATTGGACGGACTCAGGACGCAGACGCGGAGATACCCCATGGTGATTCGGCTTCTCAACACCGTAATCCACACTCTGTGTGGACCCGTATCGCGCTCTACGCTGTTCCTCTCCCGAAACAGGGCGATAGGCTTGCGCACGGACCCGAACAATCACCGAGATGTCCCCAATTATCTCATTCCCCTCTCCAACTTCGAGGGCGGCCAGCTGTTCATCGAATCCCAGAACGGAGACTACAGCCTTGATGAGAACGGCATGCGGGGATACGTCCATGAGGTAACGCTCCCCTTCCTGCGGTTCAATGCGCGTCGACGACATATGGTACTGCCCTGGTATGGACGCAGGCTCATCCTTGGGGCCTTTCATGTTAAGGAAACTCAGACGCTGTCAGAGCCTACGCGACAGCTGCTCATGAGCCTTGGCTTCCTGCTACAAGCACGCCCGGTAAATAGCCGTTGGCGCGGGGTCCATTGGACATGCACATCAGTCTGCAAGCCTCTTGCTTAGTGTGCGGTCCAATAGACAGGACCTGGCAGGTTCCAGCTCGTCGGATCTCAAAAAAGACAGCCTATTGCTAATAGCTTCAACGAGCATCCTACCTCACTCTCCACCTGCCTGGATGCAGCTATGCTAAGGTCTCACGGACAAGGGCCACGGCGTCGCTGGCTGTGTCGGGACGTGCCCCTCTGCAGTTTGCAACGGAGCTGTTTGCTTCGACTAAACATGCAGCCAGGGCTGGGCGCAATCTGCAGATGTAGCCGTTGCCGCTGTCGTTTTCTGCAAGGCACAGCTCTAGCTGCTACAACATGGCACGGATAGGTCACCAATTCAGTCAAAAGACAAGCCGAACTTGCCAGCCCTTGGTAACGCGACAGCTCTGCCGAAGACTAGCGCTGCTGACTGGTGCCATTGGCCACTGACATAGCACGGGTGCTGCAAGCTGGGAGCATTGCTCAATACCGGAGTTTCCCGCCATGGACACACGGCCCTCTGGCATCGAGGAGGGCCCCTTTCTGGTATTGAGCGACAGCACCCTTCAGCACCTTCTCTTCACCTCTGGAAAGGGAAAATCCTATGGGGTGGAGTCCGTCATGGGTGGCTATGCGATCATCAGCCCGGGGGCGGCGCTGGTGCCCTATCGACAAGAGCCGAAGAACCCTCCGGTTCTTGAAATTCTGGCGTGGCATTTCATTCAGGTACTGGAGGCATCCAGTCGCTCCACCACGTCTTTTTCCTGTCCAGCACCCAGGACTCAAACAATGCCTCCTAGAAGCCTTTCATCGGCCGGTGAATGTGGGACTCATCCCCCTGAGGGAGAGTTTGCCGTCCCACAAACAAGGCTCGTACAATTGGATTGCCGATGTCCGGGACGAGTACGGTCTCGGATCGTTTGAGCTCCGGGAGCAAACCATCATGAGTCTTCAGGCCCGCCAGGACGCACGGCCTACCCCCCCGTGCCTTGTCGACCAGCTTTACAAGCAGAACAACTGCCACTTCCGCCCTGAGGTTGCGGAAAAGGCCATCGGCCTGCTTGTTGGCCGCGCGCTCATGACCATGAGACGACAACAGCCGGGCAAGTTCCAGGTCCTGGTGATATGTTCCTGGAACTCCACGGACGACAATGTTCATCAGGAGATGCACGCCACGGCGGAACTCTGCCGGGCTACCATAGTCTCGGAGCTGGGGTCATTGGCCGCTAGGCACACTCAGAAGCCCTGGGCATTGAGACGGTACTTGGAGCCATTAGCTATGCAGAGGGAGATGCCGAGGCACCTTTTTCAGACCTACATTCACGACGACCACCCGGGGCCTCGAGAAATGTGTGACGCCCAGTTTCAGGGTTTTCGCCGCCAGTTCTTCAATGACAGTGATTTGGAAAACGTGGTACGCAACCACGCTGGGTCCATTGGGCTGAACCTGGTTCAGCGCCTTACACAGCCAGCCCACAGAGCTGATGTATTTCGCTACATCCAGCACTACAACCAGGGCGGCTTTTACATGGACATTAAGCTCTGCTTTACTGTCACTTTTGAGCAGCTGCGAGCGTACATGGCTGCGGACTGGCAAGAGGAGCAACAGGAGGAGTGCAGGAAGTTCGGCCTGCCGGCGTCTCCGCCGTTCCAGCCCCCGACGGAGTACCTTCTGATGGGCATTGGACAGCGAGGAGATCACATCTTCCAAGGCATCATCTACGGCCAGCCCAAGCACCCCCTGCTCCTGGCGGCCATCAAGCACTCCTTCTCGCGCCGCATCTTGTCTTGCATAGCTAACAGGGAGTACATGGTCTTCTGCAAGGAGGTCTGGAGACTGCTCCAGCAGGACCTTGGCAAGGACCCTCAGGTGGGATGGAACCTCACGCGGCTGTATGGGCCGGTGTACCTGCTGCGCGAGCACCTCTCCAAGCAGTACAAGGGTGGTGCCACTGGCTCAGACGGTTTTCACTTCAAGACGGCCAGTGGACACGTGGTGGCTCTCACCCGCAACTGGGACTGGCGCCGAGGCTTCAAGGGGGACCCTAAGGCCAAGGAGCGCAGAGCCCAATTCCTGCTGCAGGCCCTGCCCCAGGCTGTCTCGGAGGCGCAGGATGTGAAAGCCTTCGCACACACCATTGAGATGCCTCCAAGGGAGCAGCAGGGGGCATTGCCCAAATTAGGCGAGGTGGGGGAGAACGTGGTGCAAAGCATCGATGACAACTCATTCGATGCCATCGTGGACGTGGTCAGCAAGGAACCCCACTACGAGGACATACAAGCACAGGACGTTTTGAGCTTTATCCCGAAGGGTCTCATTTTGCACCCAATGAGACAGGGGTGGCTGTCCTGCCGCCACTGCAAGCAAAAAGGGTCGCAAAACCCGCTGGAATTCCCGAACTCTGGTGGGGTGCTCAACCACTTCCGAAACCGTGGAGGGGCACACACACCTTCGGAGCAGGCAACACAGGCCTCTTCGTCGTCGGCGGCGCCCTGGCTGCCCACTCAGTCGGCGGGTGAGACTGACCAAATCCCTCCACCGGAGCCGATGGCGGACCAACCGCCGCAGGTCAAGCTTCCTGCTGCTATCTCCCAGCTTCGGCACAGCCTGGGAATGCCCCCCCTGCCAACCCTCAGGGAACAACAAGCACCTTCAGCTACAGCGGCCAAGGCCAAGGCTGAGATGCCACAGATCAGCTCTTCACAGGAACCAGACCCCCTGCACTCCCCCCCTCCGTGGGACACTCAGGCCACCCAGGCCGAGAAGGAGAAAGCGGAGCAGTTTCCAACCGCTCCACTTGAGGGCCCGGCTTTTCCCTTCGTGCCGGTATTGGCGACTTCTGCCACTCCGACCAGCATCCCCGCAGAGGTGCCCTTGGTCTCAAAGGCCTCAGACGGTGGGGCTGACTTGAAACCTGAAGGGCACATGGTGCAACCTATGGCACGCCAGCAGGGGCCATTGGCCGAAGAAGAAGAAGAAGAGCAGCCGAATACTATTCCGGCGGACCAGCTCAAAGAGGTCAAATACCGTGGCCCCATCGAAGTTACGGAGCTTCTTGGATATGAGGCCGGGCCGTCTATCCAGTCGAGAGATGCCGAAATTCCCAAACGGGAACGGATCGTTCAGGAGTGTCAATCTGACTCCTTCTTCGACTGGCTACATGCTCTGGCTACGATTCTGCTGTTTAACGAGTCGCTCATTCTGGGTGGACTCAAGTCCACTGAACTCACGGCACTGTGGAGCCGCCGTGTTGCCACTTTGAGCAAAGTTCCTTGGATTTTTGGACCACTCCTCCTTGTGCGCAACGTTTCCCACAAAACTTCGTGGATGGAGGCCATGTCAGCCCGACTGGTGGACAATGATCGGGGCCGCTTGACGGTTTCTCTTGCTATGCCGGATGGCGCGCAGAGCCTAGCCACGATCACTGTTTACTTCGGCATACTCGGTGGCCTCTTCCGAAGCATGTGGGATCGCGATGAAATGGCGGCGCTTCTGGAGTCAGACGACAACTTCGAGATCGTTGCGTCCACAGCCAAATCCATCTACGACCGCACCTGCCGTTCCTGTGATTTGGACAACCGTCTAATCATTCTGCAGCACAAGGACGGTAAGGTCCAACGCGGCATGCGCATTGATCATAGAGCTGGGGACACCGACGCGAAGAAGAACTACTTGAATCAGCAGAAGCGGTTGGCGGAGAAGTCCGCGGCCCCAGCGGACAAGAGGCACCGGGATGGCCAAGATTGGTGGGAACCCAGGTGGCAGCAATCCGGCTGGTGGCACAACTACCATAACCAGGGCTCAAGCAGCGAAGACCGCCCAGATCAGTCTTCCTCTTCATGGCAGTGGAGAAAGAGGTAGAAAGCCACAGCCGGGGCCATTGGCCACCAACAGCGAACTGTTTGGGGACGTTCAGCAGAGCAATTTTGGGGCAGTGCTCGATGCGTACAGCTTCGTCGTGCGCTTTTTTACCACTGACTCCAACTCGAGTCGGGCATCGAAAAAGCTTGCACAATAGTCCGCTCGCATGGCCTACCCCAGCTCTCTCAACGCACTTGCGGTATGACATGTGGCGCACCGATGCCTTCAGGTACCTCGCTGTAAGTCGCCGCAAGCCACCTGACCGTGGTCCTGTCACGT